GTCCAGTTGTAATGGAAAGATTTTTAAAAGTAAATTAACTTAGGGCTAAAAATATTGTGGCTGACAGGTCATTCCAGTCCAGAGTTTCTTTTTTCTACAGACTCATTAACTGCCTGTATAGACACCCAGGTTATTCACAAGATTGCAATGGCAAAGTTGAAGTACCTAAATACCTGAGCAAGAACAAAAGTATATTAAGCCACCATGATCTTCAATGTGAACACAATTTCAGTGTCAGCTCGTACCAATTCTTTCAACTTTTTGAAAATTCTTTTGAAGAGAATTCTTCCAATTCTTTCAGAACAGGAATCTAAGGTCCCTGCTCACTAGCTATCAACCTCCTTTCTGCTGCCACCAAAACATGGACTGACCTATCCTATAACGTGATAGTGTTTTAATGACATGGGTATATTCAGAAATAAAAAGAAGAACATCAATTGATCAAGAACATATCTTTTATATCCAAACTGAAAAAGAAGATAGAGAATACTCCCTTGGCAATTTAGACAAAAGAATAATCATAAAACATATTGATAAGCCAAAAATGTTGGAGTTCTTGGTACATCTAAATAAATATTTCTATTATCAAATTAGGAGTCCAAATATCACATAGTTTCATTGAAATGACTTGAAAAAACTACTTATTCAACCTTAAATAAATTTTAATTAAGTTAAATTTCTGTACAATGAAATATCATCCTACCCTGGTTAAGCTTTTATCGAAAAGATAGGCAATAATGAATGCTGGGGAGCATCTGAAGAAAGGGGAATTGTTATACACTACTGATGGAAATATAAATTAGTATAACCACAATGGAGACGAGTGTGGAGGTTCCTCAAAAAACTAAAAAGAGAACTACCATACGATCTAACAATCCTACTGCTGGGCATACATCCAAAGGAAAGGGTATCAGTATATTAAAGAGATATCTACACTCCCTTGTTTATTGCAGCACTATTCACAATAGCTAAGACATGGAATCATCTCAAGTGTCTGTCAGTGTGTGAATGGATAAAGAAAATGTGGTATGTATATACAAGGGAATATTATTCAGCCATAAAAAATAAAATCCTGTCATTTGCAGCAACATGGATAGAATAGAAAGACATTATGTTAAGTGAAATAGGCCAGGCACAAAAAGATTGCATTGCATGTTCTCACATATGTGGGAGAAAGAAAAAAAAAAAAAAAACCCACAAAAACAAGAACAACAACAACAAAAAACACACAAAAAGAACTTCATGGAGACAGAGACTAGAATTATCTAGAATTATGGTTCCCAGAGGCTGGGAAGGATAGGAGGGAGGTGGGGATAAAGACAAGGGGTGGCTAATGGGTACAAAATATAGTTAGATACAATGAATAAGAGACAGTAGTAAATAGTCCACTAGGGTGACTACAGTTAAAAACAATATATTGCATATTTAACTAAAAGAATAAGATTGGAATGAGCCTAACACAAATAAATGGCAAATGCTTGAGGTGACAGCTACGCCAACTACTCTGATTTCATCATTATGTACTGTATGCCTGTACCAAAACATAACATGTACCCTCTAAATGTATAGGACTATTATATACCCATAATAATTAAAAATAATTTTAAAAAGAAATATTTCACCAAGCACACTTGAGTGCATGCCACTGTGCACATATAAAAGATAAACTAATATGAAAAAAATTACTATTAAAATTATAAAACATACCAGACTCATTTTCTTTATTGCCTTGCTATTTTTTTGTTTCCTTGCTAAATATATACACTTTATGTATAATACAGATTACTCCATTAATGAAGAAATTTAAGGGAGCTTGCTTATAAAAATTAGCTATGCATCTATAATTTAAAAGAATCACTGATGAACTCATTCTGTGGGAGGGAATAAGTATTTATTATGATCTCTAATACCATTGTTAATTAATATTAAAGCAATATAATATGACATTTAAGGTAATACCTTATTTTTTGAAAATGGGTAATTTCTTCAACATAATATAGGGATTACTGCAATAGTCATCATTACTTTTAATTACCCAATAATTACAGATTCAATGTATCACATATCTATCTGCCAAGAAAGGATATAATTATTTAATATAAAAACAATTGATCTTGACAAGAGTCTAAAATTAGGTAAGATTTTATAGCATCGAAAATGGTTAAGACATTATATTAATACTAAGGAATAATTCAGATCTATAACTATAGTCCATATTTTATGTAGTAAGTGTCAGAGAAAAATTCATATCTTATAATTTGACCCTAATATAACAGAGTGTGATTTCAGCATGGATTGTTACCACACATTCAAGATTACAAAAGCACAGATGATAGCTTTAATATCATGATGATGGGGATTATACTTCCAAAAATAGTATACTCTTTCAGCTGAGTACCTTGAGCAGTACCACCTTAAGAGCAGAGATGTGACAGTAGAAAAAAAAAGGCAGGAAACAAATGAAGTCACCAAGTTTCTAGTTCAAGTGACAATGAGAATGAAGTCTCCAAGCAGACACAGGGAGCAGAGGAGGCATGGCAGGCTAGGAAGGGAAGATGAGGCGGAGTTAACAAGGCTTTAGTTGTTTCACCTAGAAATAACTGCCAGGTATAACACTCTGAAGAGAAAGACGCACTACCAGTTCCTAAAAAGACACCAAGAAAAATCCAAACCTGAATTAGAACAAGGCTTTGTTCAAAAACAAAAGCAAAATAGCTCCAAACCAAAACAAACAAGCAGAAAAGTTCCTTTGATTTTAAATTATGGGCTGCCTACATAGTTGATCTTTTCTCTGTGATGCTCTATCACAGAAATGCTACTTTAACTCCCATGCACTGACACCATCATTTTTACTGGTCTGGAATCTGAGCCACTCTGTGCCCCAAAAAAGGCCCGTGTCCTTTTCTACCCCTCCACATTTTTTACATCCTCCTGCCAGAGAACAGCAAACTGTTGAGACCCCTTTCCACATGAAGGGCCCAAATGAATCCTGTGCACATTACTCTTCTATTACCTCCTGACAAAAACCTTCCTCCAGCCGCTTTCTGAAAACAAACCTTTCCATCCCAAGTCCTTCCAATGACCAACAGGAGCTCACAAAACTGGTGGAAATGTACCTTTTCTAGGATTCCACTTCCTTAAATTTAATAACTAGTAATAAGTAGTAATAACTAGTAATACTTCCTTATTATTCTGGCACTAGTCAAGTTAGACATTCAAACAATGTGAACTAATTTGTTTCCCAAGTCCTCAATTTATTTGTATTTTTATGAATTGCATCATATTTTCCAAGAAAGTGAATCAGAAGCTAACAGCTCTTCATTAAGAACAAGAACGTTGTCCACAGCACTTCGTAAAATGCTGTGATGAGGAGTACAATTTAAATGGAATTTGGTACTATACGTGGCAACAAAACACAGGATTTGCTGGAGGCTTTTGCTTGTTAACTTAAAACTATATTTATTTAAGACAAGGGCATATTATGACTTAAAATATTATAGACTTAAAATATTGCAGTGATTAGAGGACAGTAGGTCCAAACTATCAAAACTCTATTCCCAATATTTAGAACAAATTTCTTATTGTGGCAGAATACAATCTTTTTATTCTTGATTCTGTTTTCCAAGACGTAGATCAAAGTTAGTATTTATGCATCTCTCAAAAGTACTAGGGGAGGTAATGTATTTATGTTTTCAAACTGCTTTGAAGTCTAATCTCAAAGCCTTTATCATTTATAAAGGTTTTCCTGTGTTGATGAAATAGAAAAATTATGACTAACATCATGTTGCAAACATTAGATGGCAAAATTTCAAAATTATGTATTAAATTAGTTTGATATGTCAGAATTAATTAAGTATGTCTGAGTCTAGATAATCCAGGTATTTAAGGTTTAAAAAGAAAAACAGTATGTCTTTTCTCAAGGTATATAGCAGGGTAAGTTCCCCAGATCAAATGTTAAAAGAGGTTCTGCAACTACTCTGCAGTTCACTTAGCCTTTGACATTTAGTTCCTGTATTTGAGAAAGCAGAGAGAAAAATGCATGCTTGTCTGTCCTATTGTGGAGGGTTGATGTACCATGATCAAACTAAGGAACAAAAATATGTAAATTTTGTGAATATCAAGGATTCTAAAAACACAAATGATTTTTCTCTCCACTGAAAAAATTAATCACTTCTCCCTTTGCTGTCCAGAAAAGTAATGCTGTTGTTTCATAATCTTACGAACTTACTGTGTACTTGTGGTAATAGCATTTGTGACTATGTTTATCTATGCAGAAGATAAGAATTAAGCTCCTTTGATGAAGAGATTATGCCTTCTGAATCTGTACATGCTTTATCTTTCACTGATAAAGAACTCAATAAAGAGATGAATAAATGAATGACGGATGAACCAATCATTAAAAAGCAAAACTATTAAAAAATAAGAAGAGTCCTTTGATAACAAGAAATTGAAAGAAGTAACTTTGCAGTGAAAATCTTTTTTGATTTAGAACCATCAGCAGTGGGGAGTTAGTAAACTGTTAACTGGCTCTCTGATGCTGCCCCTCCTACCCAACATAAAAGCCCTAATTTGTGTTGTTTCCTAGTTTCCAGGGTGTAGATATTTCCATTTGGCCAATTTCAAGCTCCTAATATGATACCAATGAACAGAGATTTGGGAAGCAATGTGTACAATATATTCTCAGCCACACAACACACCTCTGTTGCTCATAGTCGCTCTTCTTGTAGTGGCTTCAACTGTACACCTACCTCAACTCCCATTCATACTTTCTTTACTACTTTGAAACTATGTTGCTAAAATCAGGTAAGCAAACCTGACATTGGGCCTTAAATATCTTATGAAATATTGGAGGAGTGAGGTTAAATTAGGTTATATAATTCCAAAGAAAGTTCATGAGACAAATTACTCCATTTCTGGTTGGTGGAATTCATATAAAGTATTCCAGACTACTTAGTTTGGCTCAAAGACCAAAAGAAAGGAGGGTGGGAGCCATTACTTACTCAATTGTGTTTCTGTCCACTTTTCCTGTCATGTTAATGCCATAGAACTGCTGCATGGCAGCTAGGGCAGACTGCATGGTCTCTGCAGAGCGCAGCACTGACATTCTGGGGTCAGTCGGTGGAAGGTAGCCGTACTTTTGTAACCAAACCTGCAATAACAAGTACAGTTTCTTTTAGATCAATTTTATACTTTTACAATAATTTTCTGGTAATTAATGTATACCTATAATAGAGTTTTGAACATTTTCTCCACAAGGGCATACAGTATTTTAAGTGTTTGATCTTTTTATAATATATATTATATAGGTTAGGTTATTTTAATATAATTGGAGAGACTGTTATGGATCTTTCTGACATACCTCCTAATGCTAATTGAAAAAAAAGATTAATTATTTGTTGCAAGCTTATAATGTATAACGTACTATAGCAAATACTGGATAAAAACTTAAGATTATCCCTGTCCTCCAGGACCTCAACCTCCCAAAATGAAGGATGCTTTTCAACAGTATGACTCCATTGAGAGGTTTGTGTTGCAAGGGGCAGTTATGTGCATATACCACATTAAAAAAGCCGTCTTCCTGAAATTGACCAGTGACTCCAGCTATGACGTGTAGCTTCTTTACAGATAAACCATGTTACTCTATGACATTTTGAGTGTAAATTCCATAAAACCATTCTATCCCATCGTAGCTAGGTATCTTTTGATGACTTTACCATGTAAAGAATATTCTTTCTTCATTTATTTCTGGTGACTCATTTTAATCTAAATCACATAAGTAACCAAGCTTTTCACCTACAGAAGAAATCCAAATCCAACTATCACCTTACGAGTGTTTAGACTTCTCTTTAAGGGTCTCATGATTTTTATCCCCCACCTTCCCTGGTGAAGGGTGCTCTGGGAGGACAGAGAAAGAACTCATAGTTAAACTCACATTCTAACTGTGATTGGAGCAAAAATTCAGAGTCATTTAAGGTTAAATTTTACAAGTGAATACAAACGTAGGGCATTTGGAGAAAAAAAAAACAAAAAAAAACCCCCAAAAAACCCAAAAAAAACCCCAAACACATGTATCTCCAGATGTATCTCCAGCAGGGAGCAGATGCTTTCTAGTTTTACAATGCTATGCATTCATTTTAAATGCGCAATCATATGTTCCGGCCACATCCCATCCTGCAGTCCTTTACCTCAATCTTCTACAGGGCTCCGAGATTTCTTGGAGTTTAGTGAGCTACCTCTCAAACTGATAAGAGCCAAGTACTTCTGTCCCTGGCATAAAATAGAAGCCTTGCTATTTGGTGAAAGGTATTTGCCAGCATGTGTTACCCTTCCTACCTCAGTCTATTTATCATATAAATGACCATCCTATGAAATTGTAGTTTTTCCCTAATAACTGATATTCTTCCTTTATGAACTTCAACTTCTAGAACAGGAGACCTATTTTCCCAGTGAAAATAACCAGCAAGTATAGAAGTTAAATTTCACCAAAAGATACTAATATTAAATGTATCAAAGTCTTAAAATGTGAAATACAAAGTGGAATTTTTCATGGTATTTACAAAAACTAACCACCTCAAAAGTACAGTACCATAAGCACATCTCCTTGAAAAAAAAAACACACACACATTTATTCTAAAACTATTTAAGAAATGAGCAATGCATCACTGTCAGGAAGGTGTATTAGTGAAACTTAATCTAGTAAACTCATGTACCACATAGTAAAAGCATGCCAAGACACTCTTCTCATCTAATCTGTAATGAACAGACTGCCAGGGAAAATATGAATATTCAGTTTCCTAGTTAACAGTGGTGCAGTCTGAAATAGACTCCACTTTTTTCTGAATGAAGGAAGCAGGGAATATTATTTAATATGAAAGTCAATACCTATTGTTATGTCATTTCTCAAAATTAGAATGCTGTATCTTGATTTTTAATAACATACATGCACCAATATTCTTAAACTGAATGTTTTTTCCATAACACCTTGTTTGCATTCATTTCTTACTTGTTAGAGAGCTGACTTGTTGCTAGGTAACTCATGGGTGCTAAGCTACAGGCAATTACGTTTATGAGGAAAGCAAAGAGAAAACCATTAACAATAAAACCTATGACTTATGTACAGATAGAGGAACTATAAAATATGTAAATGTTAAGTGCATAATGAACAGAATAAAAAATACATATTTGATTTATGCA